ATTAAATATGGTGTCAACATGTGGCTGCGATCTTAATTCCTCTAAGAATTAAGGTCACCAGGGCTGTCTCTCCCCACCCAGGCCTTCAAGAGTGGGGAAAGAAAGAAGAAGAAAAGGATATAAGAGGCAGCTTTCCCCTCCCTCCCTAGGCCTGCTTCCAACAGATGCTGATGCCAGGGATGGAGATAGTGCTCTGAGAATCTGTGCCCAGTGCAATACTCTCAAAACTCATTACCTGGCCTGCATTGCCATCCCCGGGCTTGTGTGCCTCTGCTTCTCCTGTTTGTCCAAGGTGTTGTCACAGGGCAACCAACTACACCATTGCCCACTGCCTTCTTCCTCTATGTGCCTGCCATGTGTGCCTCGCTGTCCTGCCCACAGAGACACAGTCGCCTTGGGAAGCACCAGCACCCATCCTCACCCACACCTGTGCCTACCGGCTGAGGTCCCAGCATGCAGCCTCCTGGACTGACCATGCTCTGAAGGCAATAGGCCAAAAGTGGTGGATGATTTTGCTTCCAGACTGAGGCCAGCTAGGAACAAAGCAGCAGCTTCAGGAAACCGAGCTGTGTGTTCTGTGGTTGCCAGGGGGTGGGGCGCGAGCTGGCAAGGACTGGAGGGGCCACTGGAAGCAGGGTTCAAATGAGCTTTGTGGAGGTCGACCTGAAGCCGTACTTGGGGGAAGGCACAAACTGATGACTCTGCTGCTTTCCTATTGTGTCATGCAAAAGGCTTCTAGGGAATTCTTGCCAAGTCTTTAGAAGAAAAGATATATATAGCTAAAGATGTGTATATTTATAGAGAGATATATGGATCTATTTATGCCAGTCATGCCACTTAACTACGGGGAGGAGCAGATGCCTCTGGAGGAAGAGCAGGGCACCGGGATCCCCCGCAGCTCTTCCCAGCCCCTGGGAGAAGGAAAGTCAAGCAGCACCCAAGGAACCTGGGCCCTTGGCCCTGGTACCCAGAGGAGGGGCCTCCCTGGTGGAGGCCAGGCCCCCGAGCCAGGAGCTGTTCGGCCGGGTGTCTGTGGCCCCAGGAGACCTTGGAAAGAAATCTGTCTCGGGGTCTGTTATCCCTGAGTAACCCAATCCTCGGAGCGGAGTGCGAGAGGCCAGGATGCCTTGTGGGAGTGTGCAGGGCACGGAGGGGCTGCGGCGAGGCGTGAGGGCCCCTCGGGCCTTTTTCCCTCCACCTGTGGGAAGCGAGCCTTTGGACTTGACCTCAGAGGGGCCCTCACTCGGGTTGTGGCACTGGGAAGCCAGCCAGTTTAGCTGGGACCATCTGTCAGTCCCCTGGGAGGCTGAGGGAACAGCTGAGGGATTGGGCTAAAGATTCTTCCAGAAATCTCCCAGAACACAAAGTGGGAGGCGGGAGGGATTGGGTGGTGCATGAGCACTGCCTGATTGCTCTCCACCGTGGGCCCGTGGGTGAGCTGGGTGTGCCCCGTATCCGCCCTGGGCATCTCTCATTCCATCTTCATCGTGTCAACACTCCCAAGTTGGCTGGCGTGGAACCGCTTGCCTCACCCGCAGCCTGTGTCCCCCAGCCCGGTCCCTGCCTCCACCTGCTCTTGAGGAGGCCCTGGAGGGATGGTGAGTAAGCTGGCTAATGACACTGCACCCACCTTATCTAGGGCTGGCCTGGGTGTACTTTCCTTGACATTTTTAAAGCAGTAGGTGGGGGGTGGGAGGTGAATATTGCAAAACCCGTTTGGTGTAGCTGCCAGGACCTTCCCCCTCTCCCCAGGCAAGCATAATCGCTCCGTGCTGGCAAAGACTCTCGGAGGCTGAAGACAGCCAACATGTTGGCAGAATGGGCTCTGCCCACCCCACACGCATCCCTGGTGGTGAGTCCACCAGGCTATCCTGTGACCACCGGAGAAGTCGAGAGCGAAAGTCAGATCCCAGGGAGGACTTTAGAATGGCACTATCCGAGACAGCTTTCCGTGCGGATGCAAAATGTGTGTGTGTGTGCTTGGTAGCAGCTGCCAGCTGAGGGCCTGCAGTGTGCAGGGGCACCTGTGGAGCGAGGCATCTGATTTTGCTTCATTTTCACTCATTTAAGTACAAATAGCTACACGTGGCTAGTGGCTGCTGTACTGGTGGGAAAGTTCTAGAATACAAAGCAGAAGTGACCTAGAAGCCTGGGACCCCATTAAAGCCTTGAGGAATGGCCTCCCTCTTTCAGTCCCTGTTCAAAGGGGGCAGTTTTGTCTGGCGGCCACAGGGCAGTTTCTGCCCCAGAGTGAGCCTAATTCCTAGCCTAAAGCCCAAGATAGACCTTTCTGGGACCTGCTCCCTGGGTAGAAGAAGCCAAGGGGTGGAGTAAGCAGGGGCGCTACCCCTTCACCCTCCATGCACCTGGCACTGGCTCCCCACCCATAGTGTGGAGCCACAGCTGCACACATCTGGGCTCCCTCCTGCCGCTGCCTCTGCGTTTCTCTGTCAGCAATGGCTGTTGGCTGCTGGTGGTCAGCCGAGTCACAGAGGCCCTGCAGGCCTCCTGTCCCCCTCCCCCACTCTCCCATCCCTGCTGGGGGAGGTCAAAGGGGAAAGAGAAAAAGGCAGGAAGGCAGAGTGAGGGTGAAACGAAATGTCAGTGACATTCGAGAGCGTGACTTCACAGGCTCGCGCTGCCCACCCTCTGGAGTCAGGACGAGCCTCGTCTGGTTCAGAAGCCATCGACGACTCCCCCATCAGAGCTGCCAATCCCGAGTGCCCCACCCCCACCCCGTCCCACGCACACAGTAACACGTGTGCCTCATCCCAGACCCATGTGACCTCCCAGGGAGCTTTCCCTGCCGATTCCAACCTGAGAGCCTTCAGCCGTCCTTGTGTGCCTCTCCCTTCCCCCACTCCTCCGGGGACACAGGAGGGCAGAGGCAAAGCTGCCTCTCTGGGCCAGGAGGTCAGCAGCCCTGGCTGCTCTCCACATGTGCAGAAAGCCTTGGAGGGAGAGGTGTTCGCTTCTCTGGTCCCCAGCTCTTGGCCTTAGCTGGCTCCCCCTGGCCGGGGCTGTGAACCTGCTATGAAGTTGCAAGAATCGGCCAGGCTGTCCAGCAGCCACACGCTCCACAGAGTGAGGCTGAACTGCCTGTCCCAGGAATGGGCTAGGCCCCAGGGGGACCAGAGGCAAACCCACTCCACAGCTCTGTGCAGCCTGGAGGCTGCTCTTGGAGCCTGGCTTCGTTCTCATAACTGCAGAAGAGAATGGGGGGGGGGCTTTCTTTTGCTGCTGACCTGTGGAGTGATGGCAGACACGCCTTTGTTTCCCTGTCTGCAAGAGGAGGCGATTGCATGATGAGACCCTCCCAGAGCTACCACCCATGAACGTGATCCCCAACCTCTCTGCTCCTGTGGCCACAGCACGGCGTGGTTAGCAGCCCCGGAATAGCGGGGAAACCCCTTGCAGTGCCTTGCTGGTTCTGATTTCCCACGGCTGAGAAATGGGCTAGCCTTAGCCTCCTGAACTCGAGTGAGTCACCTCGCAGATTCTCAGCCCTGGAGCTGGACTGAGCTAAGCTGGACTGGACAGGCCGTGGGCGAGCAGAGAGGCACTAAGTATGGAAGCCCTTGCTGGCAGGAAGAAGCTGGGGTAAGATCGCAGAAGGAACTTCCTAAGTCACGGACACTCTCAGGGGACTGCAGTGTTTCCCTTCCTAGCAAAATTTCAAAATGAGAGCGTTGGAGGGGTATATTTGCATCCTGAAAGTTATTTTTCAGAATATGCAGAGGAGCTTCAAAATGCCCACGGAAAAGGCAGAGTATGAACAAAAACAAAAAACTACGCATGAATTTCAAAACGTTTTTGCACCCAAAAATCCCTTTTTATTTCCATTTTCCACAAACCTTTTGAAGTCCCCTCTGGCATCACTCCCCATCCACAGACCCCGTCTCTTCCTTGTCAGTGATCTCAGGCCCACAGGGGGCTGGTGTGCACGTGGTGGGACGAGGGGGGCTCCGGGAGAACGGGGTCTTGCCAGACAGTGCGGGGGTGCAGTTTCGCTCCCTGACTTCTGCCCTTTGCCCTTCCAGCTATGATCCCTAAATTACTGAGCTGTCTAAGCCTCTCTAGGGAGGAGGGAAGCAAACAGGGCTGACGGGGGGCAGGGCAGAGAAAGAATGAGGTGGAGGTCAGGGGTCATTTCACAGTGTGTTTTGGCAGAGGGGGCCTGGGGGGCAGCCCGTGGCCCGGGACTTTCATCCTCCTGAGCTTCCCTAATGCAGAAAGCAAAAGCTGTCACCGAGCAGTGATTTGGAGCCCCTGCTCCAGGGGACGGGGATGTACCCCTGGAGGTCTGGCAACCTCCGGGAGAGACTTCCCTGCACCCCTTCCTGTCCTCATGCTTCTCAGCCTCAGAGGTGACCACAGTGCCCTGCCCGTGGAGGCTTTGCTTGGGCCCGGAGGGCTGGGGCTGGGGCTGGCCTGGGGGCGGGGGCAGGCACAGGGGGCGGGCCTCAGCAGGTCCCTGTGGCCCCTCAGGCCTGTCTCCTGTGGCACAGGAAAGTCTAAAGGGCAGGATGAGCTCACAGACTCAGGGCCTGAGGCTGGAGGTTTCCTGCTGAGGGAGGGGCAGAGAGGCAGGGAAGGGGGTGCTGCAGAGGAGCCGGCCTCCACCAGCGCCTGCGCACAGGCATCCTCATGAAAACCAGAGCTGACTCTTTCCCCAGCGACCCCGTTTCTCTCTTCACAGCCCCCTCCCTGCCCCCAGGTTTCCTCTGTTTCCGCTCTCCTAGGTGGCCCCGGGGTGAGGCGCAGTGGGAGCACACACGCAAGCTCCGCCCAGTGAGCTGGTCTTAGCGGGGGCTGGGTCCCCAGACGCTCGGCCACATCCTAGCAGGATGGCTGCCCACTGTGCCTCAGTTCTCTCCTGTGTGAAATGCAGATGACAAGAGTGCCCTCCCCATGTGGATGTGGGTCTCCTGAGAATTCAGTGTGAAGCACTGGGCCTGATTCCTAGGAAGGGCTCAGTATGCACAGTGAGCAGTACAGGGCCTGACTCCTAGGATGGGCTCAGTATGCACAGTGCACAGTACAGGACCTGACTCCTAGGAAGGGCTCAGTATGCACAGTGAGCAGTACAGGGCCTGACTCCTAGGAAGGGCTCAGTATGCACAGTGCACAGTGCAGGACCTGACTCCTAGGAAGGGCTCAGTATTCACAGTGCACAGTACAGGGCCTGACTCCTAGGAAGGGCTCAGTATGCAGAGTGCACAGTACAGGACCTGACTCCTAGGAAGGGCTCGGTATGCACAGTGCACAGTACAGGCCCTGACTCCTAGGAAGGGCTCGGTATGCACAGTGCACAGTACAGGCCCTGACTCCTAGGAAGGGCTCGGTATGCACAGTGCACAGTGCAAGACCTGACTCCTAGGAAGGGCTCAGTATGCTGAGTACACAGTACAGGGCCTGACTCCTAGGAAGGGCTCGGTATGCACAGTGCACAGTACAGGCCCTGACTCCTAGGAAGGGCTCGGTATGCACAGTGCACAGTGCAAGACCTGACTCCTAGGAAGGGCTCAGTATGCAGAGTGCACAGTACAGGGCCTGATTCCTAGGAAGGGCTCAGTATGCAGAGTGCACAGTACAGGGCCTGACTCCTAGGAAGGGCTCAGTATGCAGAGTGCACAGTACAGGGCCTGACTCCTAGGAAGGGCTCAGTATGCAGAGTGCACAGTACAGGGCCTGACTCCTAGGAAGAGCTCAGTATGCACAGTGCACAGTACAGGGCCTGACTCCTAGGAAGGGCTCAGTATGCACAGTACACAGTACAGGGCCTGACTCCTAGGAAGAGCAGCATCAGTGTTAGTTCTTTTCTTGTGGTTTGCCAGCTCTCTTCTCTGTTGGTGGCACTTGAATGCACACATAGTGACATAGCACTGCAGTTACAGCCATGGCCAAGGCACAGGCCCAGAGAGAGACCCTCTGCCTTCGGCCCCATGCCAGCCTCCCGGCACAGAGGTGCCCGCTCATCCCCACCCCCGTCTCCTCGCTGACAGCCTGAGGACAGGTCGTTTTTCTTCCCCTTTACTCCTTCCCCTCCCTCCTCACCCCCTCCCCACTTCCCAGCCTTAATGATTTTAACATACACACAGTTCTTTAAAAAAAGGCCCCCAGTGAGCGGCTCCAAGCCTCGTGTCGTGCAGGAGAAGCGAGCGAGCACAGGTTCACAGTCACAGCTTGTGATGACAGGGGCCTGGTGCTGATTTCCTCCCTGCTTGAAGCCGGTGGAGGCAGGGCGGGCGGCACCAGGGCCAGGGCGCCCAGCCTTGGGACCTTCCGGGTTCCCTGGAGACTCTCGTCCTGGGGAGTTTGGAGGAGCTGCCTCCAGGTGGCTGTGGGGGGCACCGGGCAACCAGGACGCTTCCAGGTGTCCCTTCCTGTTCTAGATTCTCACTCCATGCTGCCTCTGGTTTCTGTGGGCGGGGCCACAGGAGGAGAGATCTGCAGGGGGGACTCCAGCCCCAGGTACCATGGATTTGCTTCGCCCACCAACATACACAACCTCTCTGCCTCCACTTTCTCTGTGTGGCTGGCCTGAGAGGCCGACTCTCATCTGCCCCCCAGTGCTGGCAGCCCCCAGGGCAAACCCCCACCTCCAGGGCTGACTTCTTGTCTGTGAACCCAAGGATGGTCTGGTGGGGCAGCAAAGCCGAGCTGTGCCTGAACGCCCGTGTGCCGGGGGGAAGGAACGGGCCCATGGCAAGGGCGTTGAGGCAGAAAGGGAAGTGGACAAAGAGCTGGGAGCCCCACTGAACCCCCTGGCATGGACATGGAGCTGGCTGGGCTCCAGGTTTCCCTCTAAATCAGAAGCAAATGCGCTAGAGCTGCAACCTTACCCCTTGACTGAAGACGGAAAAGTGCCTGTGTGACCTCACATTACTGGTGCTATTATCGTCATTATTGGTAATATCACCGTCATCAGTCTGTAATTTGCCAGTTTCAATGGCGAGGAGGTTTAGGACCCTCTGGGCTTTCACGTGAAGAGAAAATGAGTCGTGGCAGCCCCTCCGCCTCTCTCCTCCCCCCTTGCCACCCACAGGGCCTCTGCCCCAGTCTCGTCTCTGGCACTGGAGAGGCTCCCTCACCTGGGCCCAGCACGAGGTCATGGTGCGGGGACAGTGTGCCCTGGGGGTGAGATGTTGGGGCAGTGGGTAGGGCCACGTCCCTCTTGCACACAGCAAAAACGAGACTGCAGCCCATGCCCTAAGCCGGTGGGTCTCAGACTCCAGTGTGCCCCAGAAGTTCCTGGGTGGTGTGTTAAAGCACAGATCGCAAGGTGCTCATCGATCGAGTGGGGCCTGAGAATTTGTGTTTCTCGGGTGCTGGTGTCACGAGTTCCCCAAGGACACCCATGCTGTGGGACTCGGGGGGGGACCCCACTGCATTTTGCCAAGCACTGCCCTGAAGTGTCCTACCTGGGGTATGTGTACAGGCGAGTCACCAGGATGCCCCCTCTCCTCCCACCCTCTCCTGCATAGAGGTGTTGGGTTCCCAGCAGGGGACGCAAGGGCCCAGGTGCAGTATGAGGTGGCGGGGGAGGGGGTGCTGCTGGCTCTCACACATACAGAAACCCTGGAGAGCAAGCGAAGGCAGGCAGCGACTCTGTCCCCACCCCGTGAAGACTCACTCCTTCATTGGCATTTCTGTGCCCTCCGAGGCAGGGAGGCTGGGGCCAGTGTGACTCACTGTGTGAGCCTCTGTCAGAACGCTGGGCCCCAGCCAAGCTCTCCTCAGTCCGGCAGGCCCACCCTCATTCTTCCCCACCTATTCCTCCAGTTGAGCTTCAGGCTGTGCAGAGTGGTGGCGTCCCTGTGCACACCCCCACTGTCACCCATCAGAGAGCGGGCACCTTGCACGCGTGTGGTCTCAGAGCCACACTTCCCCACTCCCCGCCCCCAAGGAGCTCCAGGACTGCCCTGCAAAGCCAGTGCTATGCAAACATAGCCTTTCCTCTCTTCCCTCCTCTCTGGAGGAAAAAGAGATCAGAACATTGGAATTGGCCCTCGGGAAGCTCCTGCCAGAACGCAGAGGCTGTGTGAGAGGCGTTGCAGGCACCTGCTGCAATGAGGAGTGTGTTCTGTCTGATCTTTGCTCAAGTCCTCGGGCTAAGGCTGCACACTTGTTTTGCAACAGCAAGTTTGGAAACTCAGGGCCCACACTAGACTCATACACAGATACCAAGAGCTGGGCAAAGTCTAACCAGGTTGGTCTCCCATGTGAGGAAGCAGTAGGAGCTCCTGAAAGCTTGTTCAATCCCACACAGCGGGGCCCCGCCCCCAGAGTTCCTCATTCACTAGCACTGGGCTGGGGCGGGGCCTAAGGCACTCCCAGGTAGGGCTGGTGCTGCAGCCCATTGGTTAGACTTTTGCTGGCTGTGACTCCCTGTTGCTGTTCACCAGAGCTGTAATTTCACACTGGACCAGTTAACACCCTCTGTGAGTTCTTCTGAGGTCACTAAGAAAAAATGTGACGAGCTTGCTAATTCCATGTTGTTTCTTCGTTCATTCACGAGATAATCATCATTATAGTAGACACTCAGTACTGCGGCCCTAGAGCTCTGCCCGTATGAACGTTGAGTCCTTTTCATCTGTAATTATGATCCCCGTTTTGCAACCGAAGCTCCAGAAGCAGAGGTGGTGAGGTTACCCGGCCAGTCAGAGGTGGCACAGGGATTCCAACCAGACATCCAGCTCCAGGATCTTATTCCTAACCAGGCTCTGCCACGTTGAGTTGTGGATCAGAGGCTCTGCTGGGCTCTGAATGGTAGATGGAAAGGATACGAGGGTGAATAAGTCAGCATCTTACCTTGTATTGACAGCCAGAACGTCAGAGAATACCACCAAGACAGAACGTGCTGGTGACCCAAAGCAGAGAGAATGAGCGACTTAAAAAAAAAAAAGATTTATTTATTTATTTGAGAGGCAGAGAGGGGGGTCTTCCATCTGCTGGCTCATTCCAGAATGGTCACAATGGCTGGAGCTGGGCCAATCCGAAGCCAGGAGCTTCTTCCGAGTCTCCCATGTGGGAGCAGAGGTCCTAGTTCCTGGGTCATCCTCCACTGCTTTCCCAAGCCATCAGCAGGGAGCTGAATCAGAAACAGCACAGCCAGGACTCAAACTGGCACCTATATGGGAGAGGCACTCATATGGTACACCACAGCACCAGCCCCCAGAATGAGTGACTTGACCTAGGAGAGGCGGAGAAAGCATGGAAGCGGGCACTCTGGCTGGACTTGTAAGTACAGCAGCTGTGAGCTGGAAAACGGGCTGACGGCCACGGCGTTGCAGACGGCAGTGTGAGAACAGGAGCGCCACCATTCCAGCCCTTCCAGTGGCTCCGGGCTAACGGTGCCCGATCGATGCTGGAGAAGGCAGGGACGTGGCCAAAAGACGCAAAGCCGCGGCCTGGCTGTGAGTGACCCGGAATGTGTGCTCAAGTTTTGGACTTCGCTGACCGTGGGGGAGCCGTTTAGGGGCTTTGAGCAAGGCAGACACACCACCACACGTGTCATTGTGAAACGACTCCAGGTTTTAGCCTGGGGTGCATTCCAGACACACCAAGAGCTGACTTCCCCCACCCGGCCGTCACACACAGTTGGCTGGGCAACATCGTTCTCCCTTGCACTTTCTGTCTACCGGACAGCGGCCTTGTCCGTTCCCCGCTGCGGGGACCATCCTGGCTGATCCTTCCCGTTCTTCTACAGGGCTCTTCCCACCTGTACCGACCTAACTCTGGCCTTGTCCCCTGCTGCCTTCGGGTTCTATTCTCCGGGACTCTGAGATGTGTGTAGCTGTGTTGTGTGTGACCTCACGGCTCGTGGTCAGGGTACATTTGGATGATGGTGGTCACCCCCTCCCATGGAAACGGAAGGGTCCCCGAGTTGGTTGCAAGCCGGGTATTGAGATTCCTCCTCCAATGCTGACCTTTCTAACCCAGCTCTTGTTGTCTGATGGGAAACACTGATGGTGCTAACGCTAGGCTGGACGTGCCATCCCTCGCCCTCCTGCCTCACTCGTTGCTTCAACTAAGTTGCTGGGCCCTTAAGTCATCCCTGAATGCAAGCAAGTTGTAAACTGCAAGGCACCCGGCAGACAGGGGGTGGGAGGAGGAGGAGGCACGGGCCGGTTGCTTCAGACAGGAGCACAGTTGAGCCATCCATCAATTCCCGTCAACACCAGCGCAGTGGGAAGCCCACCTGCCTCCGGCCATGGACCCCTCCCCCGCGTCCCCGGGCGCCTCTGCACCCTCCTCCCCACTGCACAGCCTCCTGTCTGTGGCGGGCAGCTTTTTTCCCATCACTCTGCTAAGAAGCCTGCCCTTTCTCCAGCCTGACCTCTGCCCTCTACCCCAGGGCCACAGGTTGTAGCTCCCGCTGGCCCTGTCCAGGGCTGTAGATGACCTTTCCAGATTGCCAGCCCGTTCCCCAGAGAGCAGTAACCGCTGGAGTGGAGACAGCCAGCCCCGGGCTTCTCTTAGCTCTTCCGCAGAGGACACGACCAAGAAGGAGGCTATGGCCCTTGCAGACTGCTGCGATTTCCAAGCGCTCCGAGCAGAGCCTGGCCTTTGTCACCCTGCCGAGACCTTACAGAGGTCATTTTACATCTGCCTCCTCTTCGGGCCCAGTAGCCGCTGGAG